GCCATAACAATAAAAACAGCATGGTGTTGGCACAAAAACAGACAGGAGGACCAATGGATCAGAATAGAAGATCCAGACATAAACCCATGAATCTATAGCCAGCTGATCTTTGACAAAACACATGATGGAGAAGACAGCCTCTTCAACAAATGCTGCTGGGAAAACTGGATATCCACATGCAGAAGACTGAAGCTAGAGCCCTGTCTTTCACTCTGTACCAAAATCAACTCGAAGTGGATCAAAGACCTTAATATAAGGCCTGAAACTTTGAAACAACTCTACAAAGCAGTAGGAAATACACTGGAACAGATAGGTATAGGGAATGACTTCCTAAACAGATCTCAAAAGGTTTAGCATCTAAGAGAAACAATGAACAAATAGGACTACATCAAGCTAAAGAGCTTCTGCACAGCAAAAGAAACAATCACAGACTCAAGAGACAGCCCACAGATGGGAAAAAATCTTTGCCAGCTACACATTCGATAAGTGACTGATATCCAGAATCTACAAGGAACTCAAAAACTCAGCCCCCAAAGAATCAACACCCCAATGAAGAAATGGGCACATGAATTAAACAAGGAATTCTCAAAGGAAGAGGTAAAAATGGCCAGTAAATACGTGAAGAACTGTTCAACTTCCCTGGCTATAAAAGAGCTGAAAATCAAAACAACACTTAGATTTCATCTCACCCCAGTTAGAATGGCCATAATCAAGGGTAACAACAACAACAAATGCTGGCGAGGATGTGGCAAAACAGGAACCCTTATACACTGCTGGTGGGAATGCAAGTTAGTATGACCACCATGGAAAGCAGTATGGAGATTCCTCAAAAAACCAGAGCTAGAACTGCCATATGATCCAGTGGTACCACTCCTGGGCATCTACCCAAAAGAGCGTAAGACAGGATACAGTAGAGACACCTGTATACCGATGTTCATTGCCAAGCTCTTGAAACAACCCAGATGCCCTACAACTGATGACTGGATCAAGAAATTATAGTGTATATACACAATGGAGTGTTACTCAGCCACAAGGAATAATGACATGTGGTTGAAGATATATGGAAGCAATTGGAAGACATCATGTTAAGTGAAGTTTAGCTAGAATCAGAAACACAAAAGCTGTTTTTTTTCTCATATGTGGAAGATAGATCCAAAGATAAACATATAAACAAAAACCAGCATTATCATATATAAACTCAGAAGTAGAACATGTTTGTAACAGTGGAACTACTCTATGGAACTCGGGGAAAGAGGGAAAGGAAAAGAGAATGACAGAGCATCAGTAATATCGCATACCATAAAATGTGAAGGTAGTGGATAGAAGGATGTGTACTGAAAGCTGTAGAAAAACGGAAGTGGGACATAAAGGGGAAAGGGAGAGCAATCAAAGGGATTGATTGAACAGCTGAAAGTAAAGCACATCCACAGAGGGCGTACATTGAGATACCTCTTTGAACATCAACTTAATAATGAAAACCAGGACTGTAAAATAGGCACAGTGTTTGTTAGCAGGGCAGTGGGGGAGGGGACGTTACTAGTGGAAGGAAGGAGGGTTAAGGAAGGAGATTAAGGTGATAGTATATAGTTGATGGGCTTCATATACTTTTTTTTTCTTTTATTCATATGTGCATACAATGTTTGGGTCATTTGCTTCATATACTTATATGAAACAGAACTAAAAAACCTCTTGCAATTGGTTTGCCTGTGGTGGGAAGGGGTTTGAGAAGGAGAGACGATAGGGGAAATGTAAATAATGTACAATATAAGTCTGATTGGAATTGTCACTTTGAATCCCCCCCATAATGAATATATCATAATAAAAAATTTATAATGAAACAAAGAATTAAAAGGGCTGGTAACAACAAAATAGGAGAGGCTGACCTCCATTACTGGTGGTAAATAGGCTGTTTGAGAACAACAGTGTTTTATTAAATCTCCTCAGTGAGGTTTGTTTTCTAAATTAATTATTTTCCAACACTTAGAATGGGAAGATTTTGCATGTAAATAGCATGAATTTCCCAGCTTCTTTTGAAAAGACTGCGCTCCCTGCTGGCAGCAAAAAGCTGAAGTGCTTTGGGCATGGGAAGCACCGTGCCTTCCCCACACACTGACCTCTTCATTTTTCCTTGATCCTTGCTTTTACCCAAAGGCATCGGCGTTAAGGAGCCCTGCTCATCTCTGACACCAACCCTGCTTCTGTTGAAAATGGCTTCTTTAGACAAGACCCCTGCTGCTATGCAGTTGGCAGTCAGGGAGAATCCTGGAGTTCTACCTACTTCCATCCCTCAGCTGTCAGTATCACACACATAGTTTTACAAGTAGGTGGCCTGTGGGGCAGGATGGTGATAAGAGGAGAGGCAAGAACCATCACAATTGGCGGTGTAACGCAGTTTTATGAGGGAGATTAGAGAACTGGAGCCAGAAAGTTCTCAGTAGTGGTAGGTAAGTAGAAAACAGTAGGGAAAAAAAAAGTATTGCAGAAGACTAAAAAAAGAAAACAGGAAGCCAGGGAACAAAGATGAATTTAAAAGACATGGTGGGAGGAGGTGTGTGGGAGGAAGTGGACAACAAGCACATGAAAAGATGCTTAACATATCAGACAACAGGAAAATTAAAATTTACACCACAACGAGACATGCCACGCTTATCCATAAGGTGACTAGAAAAGACTGACGATACTAGTCAATGTGGAACAACTGGAATTCTCAAATGTCATAGGAATGTCAAAGCAGGTTTACATTAGATGTTTACCCCTGAGGAATAGCAGCAAGAAGGATCCATGATGCTCTATTCATTATATGCCCAAACTGGAAAAAATCCAAATATAATCCATCTATAGGTGAATGGAAAACAAATGATGGCATATCCATTCAATGGAACACTACTCTGCAATAAAAATGGGGTGAACTTTTGATATACAAAATAATATGCTTTATTCCCAAAAACAAATGTGCTGTGCCAATCATGCCAGGAAAATGATTCACGTATATGAGATTTTAAAGGTAAGACTAATCTAGAGTTACAGAAAGCAGATGAGTGATTGCAGGGAACAAAAACGAGAAAAGCACTAACCGCAAGAGGTCATGAGGGAACTTTTTGATGTACCAGAAGTACTGTAGGTCTTGATCATGATACTGGTTAAACAGATGTGTATCATCAGAACTCACAGAACTGTGTATTTAAAATACATGCACGTAAATTTTTCCTTAGTGAAATTGAGTGCATAAAAATTTCTCTTTAAAAAAACAACAGTGCAGACAGTCCTAGGAGAGAGACAGACTGATAGGAAACCAAGCAGAGGTGAGCAACAAAGGGCGTTAAGATATCACAAAGACATCAAAGTGTGACCATGGGGCCCAAATGGGCTCTTAGAACCTTCCAGCTCCTGTAAATGACTTTCCTTACTCAGAGCTGCCCTTGAAGCCTGCTGCTGTACCCAATCTTAAAGGCAGGCAGCATCTCTCTCTGTGTTTCAACCCCTGCTCAAGCAAGAATGTTCTATTTTTTCTTTTCTCTGCTTCCCAAACTATAAAATCCACCCACTTACTTTTGAAATAAAGTTTTACTGGAACACATCTGTTTACACACTGTCTGTGATTGTTTTCATGCCACATTGGCAGAGTTGAGTATGCAACAGAGACTTCATGGCCCACAAAGATGAAAGCATTTATTATCTAGCCTTTTATGGAAAAACTTGCAGGTCCTTTGCATAAAGCCACTCTTGTCTTCCAGACTGTAATGGTCTTTGTACTGTCACCTCTCCTTCCCTTTCTGTCTAGGCTTACTCTCCATGAACACCTTATAGGTGCCCAGTTCCACTCATGCAAACCACCCTATTGCCACTCTCAGTCCTTCTGTCATTAAGTGACTGTTTCATTTAATGTAATCTGCTTGTTGCCATAACTTGAAATGACTTCCTTCTTTCCTGTCTTTCTAATTCCAGTTTCTACACTTAACTTGATACCTGTTTCTTCCTGGAAGTTATCTCTTGGCTGTTCCTGCCCTAACTGGACAATTTTTAATGAGTTAGTGTCCTAAAGTGAAGTCCTTGGTTGCTCTCTGGTTGAGCTGCTTTTACATATAGTTTGTCTAGAAGCCATTAAGAGATTATTCCTTATATTTATACTTCTCTAACCCCCTGTCCTACTCCACTGAATGTTCAATGCAGTGTGTCAAAATATGCCTTTGGTCTGCCTGCTTCTTTCTGTCTCCCTCCCATAGCCCTAGCTCACTGGCTTTTGCTTGGATATTGCAGTATAATCTTAACTGAGCTTTCTGCTCCATTCTTACCCCTCTTTTCTCTGTATTCCCAGACAGCAGATAAGTTGTTGCTTTTTAAAAGTACATCCTATAATTTCACTCTTTTCCTTAAAATGTTCCCATAATTCCCCATTACATGTGGAATAAGACCTGCCTCTTGCTTACCTGCCATTTTCACTTCTGCCTCTTTCCTGACTCTCTGATTCACCAAACCAAACCTTTCCCAGTCCACCACCTTGGTGGTGGTTGTTCCTTCTTCCAGAATCATCTTCTGTTTGTTCTTTCTATGACTTCTATACCTTCATGGCTGTACCCACACCTTCTAAAGGAGTGTCCTGTAGGAGAAGTGCCTGTGTCACTAACCTTATTTCTCTCTTTGCAGGGAACTTAGCATGGTCCAAAATCTACCTTGATTATTTAACAGTTTATTGTCTGTCTCCTTCCACTAGTTAATAACCGCCATGAAGATATACATACATATATGTATATATATTTACACTATATATATATATATATATATATATATATAGTTATATATAGTTATATACAGTTAACTATAGTTAACACTATAGTTTCATACTCCAAGCACTTAACATGGAATCTGGTTTATGAAGACAGTAATTTTTAAATGGATGAATAAGTGAAAATCTAGTAGGCAAAATAATACTGAGTATTTGCTCTTATTTTTCTATGACATTTTCTCTTCTTAATGACATTCTATTTTACCTAATTTTACAGGTACTTCTATTGTGACAGTAAAAGCTTTTGCTCCTGACTCAATTCAAGACAATATTAAATATTCAATTTTTAGTGGAAATGAAGATGGAGCTTTTTCCCTTGGCTCCAACTCAGGTAATCCTTCTCTACCTTACAACGGCCTTATTCTTCTGTTTAATTTAATGTTATCAGTAATGAATACTTCTGCAAAATTAGAAACTGAGAAATTATTAGAGGAAAATAATTTATAAGGTAAACAAAAATTTTTTACAGTAACTGATGAGATATTATGAGAAAACCAGGGCTATGTATTTGTTTACATATTCACACTAAGAATATTGCTGATATTTTCAAGTTAGACAGGGTCTATTCCTTGTAGTTTTGAAGATGAACTGGCTTTTATTTATAATTTATCCACCTGTTGGAAAACTGGAGTCATAGTTAGGGAGATTACTGATTCTGAATTTGACTTGGAAATGAGCACATATGTCTGCCTAGCCTTGGGAAATTTTCATCAGAGAGTTTTCTAATTTGCCACTGAATGTCAACAATGCAACAAGAAAAGGACAGCTGGAAAAGTTTCTATGTGGTGGTAAAGAAATGACTTCCAAATACAGCATGTATTAAATTTAACTTTAATAAGACCATTATTGTGTTCTAAATGAATACCAATTGATTACTTGAAGCATACTTTTTTGACTAACATCTACGTAGTAGATATGTATCTAGGGCTTCATTGTCAAACCTCCACAAGAATGCATGTAATAATGTTTGTATTACTGTGCAATGCCTTATTTCATCTATACTGTGCGCACATGGGAAACTTTTCTTAAGTGAATGACTTCTTATCCAAGATGGTGCTTTGACTTTTGGTGTACACAACTTTTGGTCAGCAACTGTTCTGAGATAGTCAGCAGGAAGTCGTCATCTCTTTACCTCATGGTTGAGTTAAAGGATGGCACAGGAAGCCTGTTAGGAAAAGACAATTGGCAAACCTCACCACACCCTAAGTTTTGCATGACCCAGGTGTCTGAGGGTTATGGGAGAGGAACTGAGACTAAAATGTTTAGGAAAACAGGAGAAGAGTAGAGTTTGCCATTTTCTCAGGTTATCCTTGCCACTCTTAACATGACCTTTTTCTCCCCTAGATTCCTTTATTAAAGATAAAATCTAACTCGGGTCAAATCAGAGGTCACCCACCAAAATCCATTTCGTGATTTAAATAATTATCTATTGAAATTTACTTTAAACTTTTCTTTAAAATTTTAAATGTGTAAAGCTATTTAAAAAGGACACTAGAGACTAGAGCCAGATGCCAGTGGCTCATGCCTGTAATCCTAGCTACTTGGAAGGCTGAGATTGGGAAGATCACAGTTGAGGCCAATCCAGGCAAATAGTTCATGAGACCCCCATCTCCAAAATAACCACAGCAAAATGGACTGGAGGTGTGGCTCAAGTGGTAGACTACCTGCTTTGTAAACAGGCAGCTCAGAGTTCAAGTCTCAGTCCCACAAAAAAAAAAAAACAGTGGAAAAATAAAAGTCCTTGTATTTGCCACCTATTTTCTGAAATAAAATATTACTAGAACTTCAGGAGGTCTCTTGTCCTCTTCCCCTTCTTTCTTTCTTTTCTTCCTTCCTTCCTTCCTTCTTCCCCCATCTTCTAAATCTTTCTCTCTCCTTGTTTAGAAATATGCATACATGTTAACTAGCCAAGTTAAGCTAATTAATATATGTATTATCTCACTGACTTTGAATCCACTGTGTTTGAATCCCTTAAACATTGTGATTTTCTTTTACCCTGATTTAAAAATCATCAGAGAATCATACTATGTACTCTTTCATGACTGGATTCTTTTCCTGAACATTTTAACTTAGAGTGCATAAACCATTCCACATCAAAGAGGAATAGCAAAGAATGATATGTACCTATTTGCATAGCTCTTGCTAGAATTAGCCTAAGTTTTATACATTTTCTTATTAAAGTAAGTGAAAAATGTTTATTTGTCTCTCAGTGCTACTGTGTATACTTGAAATTGACTTTGTCTTTCGTTTTTTTTTTTTTTGAGCAAGCTTGCTAAGTCTTGATTCCTTACAACTCTACAAACTCAAAACAAATTTTAATATTCACATGTGTATATGCTTGTGTGGTATGCATACATATCACATGATTTGTATATTACCAAGCATTTCTGTTGTTTTTATCATGAGGATCATTCAAGAATATGGTTTACCATACTGCTGTCAAGATGCTTTTTTTCAAAACTCAAATTATGATATGAAATGCATCCCTCATGCTGAATTCTGTATATTCAATACTCACAATCATTATCTGAAAATGACCATATTCCTGTCTATTAGAAGTTATATAGCTATTTCTCTGCTTTTAATGGTTAACCTTTTTTAACATATATAATTAAAGTCCAACATGAGATAATAGCCCTTTCCTGAATAATACAAGAGACTTAGAATTACTTATCTCCAGATACTCCTTTTTCATTTTACTTGTTTTTCTTGGTCACAGTATTAATTCTTTCAAATTAGGCATGATATATATTTTTAACTTTGTTTTTGGCCTTACTGGGGTTTGAACTCAGGGCCTCACACTTGCCAACAATTTGTATGTTTTAAAAATATTTAGCAACTTCTTTGCTAATGTCTTTGAAAACTATTTTTCTCACATCTCAGACTTTCCTCTAGTATCATTTTCTTTTTACTGAAATATATCCTTTAGTAAATTTCAGATTTTGGTTGTCTGAAAAATGTCTTCATTCAACCCTTATTTATAATATATTTATTTGCTGGTCTTGTAATTCTAGGCTAGGAGTTAATTTCTGTCATCCTAGTAAGATATTTCCTGCCATCATTTGGCCTCCCATTGCTGCAGTAGGAAGTCAACCATAGATACGAGTGTCATTTATTTGTAAGACAAGTAAATATTGGGATATATGACTCTTTCCTTCATCTCTTTGCCCCTTTTCTCTTTAGTCTAGGCAATTATATTTTTCATTTCCAGAAGTTCTCTGATTCTTTTCAACTTTTCTTGGTGTTAAAAATAATCTCTCTTTTTTTTTTTTTTTGTAAATGTAAGCATATTGGATTGGTGGTGCAGCTCAGTGGTAGAGTATTTGCATCACATGTGTGAGTCCCTGGGTTTGCTACATAATATCACAATGTATACATATATACATACATATATACATATATGTATAGATATATATGAGAGAATCAGAAACCTTGGGTTTCCAACTGTCTGTTGTTTTTTTCCACCATTAGCCCTTTAACCTTTTATGAGTTTTCCTCACCTTGTTTTCCATACTCTGTGTAATTACCAGAGATGCACCCCAAAGTAGAAGGTTGTGGTAGAAACCTCTGAAACAAATACAGGCTTTTCATGCCTGCTTGCCTCCCAGGATTCCTGTTTTCATTCTTGTTTTGGTCTCTGAGGATTCCTTCAACTGTGCTAACCCAATAATGAATTTTAATACACACATACATGTATACACATGTGTAATATGCATACATATCATGTGCAAATGTATCTTACCAACCATTTTAGTTATTTTTATCATGAGGATCAGTCAAGTATTTGGTTTACCATACTGCTGTCAAGAATGCTTTTCAAAACCTTAATTATGATATGAAATGCATCCCTCATGCTGTTTTTGGCACATTACCACTAAACTTGTGTCTAAAAGTAGCTAACATAGATTTTCTGGATGTGCATATTTTCAACCGTGGATTGGTTAAAGTAGAAAACTGGTATGTGTGATACTTTAGTAAAGTTGATATGTAAAGTTGTGGTCACTTTTCTTAAGGGTAGAAATGCAAGGAACCTGTGTTCCATAAGTTGCAAACCAAAGGTTGACTTTTATATTTAAACTTCATGCCACTTTGGATTAAAAACATCTATTACTATCTGAACCAGCAGAGTTTTAGAGTTTGACTAAGATTGAGTATGTAAATAACACATGGTAGTAGTCAGTCCATTATTTGGTAAATTGACATAAAACAAAAATGGTCAAACTCTTCAGTGTTTCAAAGACATAGTTGTAGCAGGAGAGAGTTTAAAAGCTATTGGTTAACATAAATATTTGTCACGTTGTGCTTTGGATTTGTCCAGATGAATGCACACACTGTGTAACTGACTGCAGTAACCTGATTACATTATCAAGCATGTAGCATGTGAAGAATCTTAATCTCATTTTGATGTGTATTTTATAACTTGGACACAAGCTGTAGATATACATGTATCAGAAGGTTTTGTTGTCAAGTTATTATACAACTGGCCCATAAAATAGAAGCAGGAATGTAAAGTTGGGATTGGAGAGGTTCCTTGCTGTGAGGAAGATCCAGATTTCTGTGCATACCATTACACAGAGCCCAGTAGAACTTTCATGTCCCTGTGACCACGTCTTTGATGTCTCTGAGAAAAAATAAACGTGTATTATCTAAGGCAAAATGTGGACTTAGAAGGTGTGTCAGCCTCAAGTCATCTCACAGACTGGCTATTGTCTTTTCCACTTGCACAATTTTCACAGCATGTGCCAGTTAGTATGCTAAAAATAAAAGCCAAGTAAGGAAAGCATTAGAACCACAGATCCAGTCCAAGTGCAAAATTCCAATTATCAAGGCCCACGTTCAAGCCTGTTATTAAAAACCCCACTTTGATCTGTACCAGAATTGGCACACTTTCTACTCGATGACACTGGCAAGTTGGTGTTTCATTTCTACTTTATTGTTCCTCTACAAACAGTACATGATAGCAGGATTTTCTGTTTGCTTGGGACAGAGATCTGGGTGAGTGCTTTGGACCCACCTCAGATGTGGGGTCCTTTACCATTTGGGGTGCAGCAATCAGCCCCTGTGCAGAGATTTCTAAAGACCAGCTACTTTCATTGCCAACCCATAAAATGCATCTTTCTGATTTTTCAGCTGCCAAAAGTTAGAGCTACCCTACATTCTCTCTCAGGGGTATTACTTATAATGGATTGCAGTATGTAAAAGTAACTTGGTTCTAATATTAAATTCATGCCAAACTGGTGTCAAAAAATGATAATGAGTTCACAGCATTTAAATTTGGTAGCCACTAGAGATGTGGCCCAACCAGCAGAGTGCCTGCCTTGTAAGCACGAAGCTCTGCATTCAAACCCCAATCCCATGAGAAAAAAAAGAAGAAAAAAGACTCTAAATTTAGTAGTACAGTGAGTTCTTAATATAAAATATAAATATTTAATTATCTTGAATGACATAATACAAACTATAAAATCTCCCTCCACCCACTTAATACCAAAGATATGTTATTAGAATTCCAGTAAGTACCAAATGGCCTGGAGGTTTTTCTAGACTAGCTTGGCTATTTGGGGAACTGGTTAACACAGAGCAATAACTATGGCTTCCACACCATGTTTCCAGACAGCATCCAGGTCCTTTCACCAGGGATCAAATTTGTAGAAGTTTCCTCTTTCTAAATTTGGAGTTCACAAAGACAGTAAGTCTGTGTCTGATGGTATCAGGGTAAACATGGGTGGAAATGGGACTACAGGGAAACATTCCAAACTGCATTTTGTCAGTTACTCTTCATGGCCATCCTATGTTGTTATTATTAACACCCCCATTTTATGGAAGAAGAACCTTAGCTTTATAGGACCTGAATAATTTACTCCAAGTGATGGGTCAGGCAATTCACCTCAATTAAATAATCTTCCCTGGAACTTATTCTTTGGTATTAGGAGTTGCAACTCCAAATCAGTGCTCATTCATAAGTCTCTATTTGATGGAATTTCTGCCTGAAAACCAAGTAAAGAATACAACTCTTAAATTGGACCAGAAGTTTTGTTTGAAGTGGAGAAGAAAACAGGAGAAATTAGAGAAGGTCATGATATTAAAGGAATGTCTTAATTTGGGGAAGAAACTTGAGTCGTTGCAGCATTCTCTGAAGTCTGCTTCCAAACCTAGTTCTGTATTTTACATGAGGATGTAAAAGTGTCATTGAATGTCCTCTGTAGACCAGCCCCTGAGCTAGGCATTGGGTATATGATGTGTGTCACAGTCAGGTATAGTCCTCACCTTGGGGAGCTTATAAACCAAGAGGAAGAGCAGGGCTGGAATAGGTAAACAAAGGAATGATGTGTCTGCTTGGACATGCAGGTGCTCCATGGGAACCTGTTGGGTAATGACGCAGTGATGGTGCAGGTCAAGAAAGATCCTGAGGAAGGCTGGATATGGTGTCCATTTGAGGGAGTTAGAGAAGCATGTATGGCAACTCTGAAATGAGCAAAGAACACAAGATGGGTGTGCATTATGACCACAGCAGATAAGGCAAAAGAGAGAATGATGTTAAATGAGACTCCAGAGGTGGAGATGCCAGAGTAGGCTAAAGATGCTCAACTTTACCATAGCAACTATGGAAAGCCATTGAAGTGTTTTATGCAGGACAGTGACAGCATCCTTTCTTATTTAGTTCACAATGGAAACTAACTGTTTTCCATGATGGGGAAAACAGTTAAGTTGCCAATTCATAGGATAAAGAGGGAAATGCTGGTGTCTTAGAGGAAGGCCACAGTAGTGGGACAGAGGTAGACTCTAGATATGTTTGGTACATAGACTTTGTAAATATGGCAATGGGCTAAATATGGCAATGAGCTAAATATGGAGAGAGGGGGGCAATTTAGAGAGAGGCCCAGATTTCAGATATTTCAAAACTTTCTTTCCTTATACTTATTTAAACTTGGCAAATATCTGTTCCCAAGGTTTTTCACAATTATGAAGTCAGTGGGGAAGGGAGACCCACCAATGGGGAGGCTCTCAAGGGACAGGTGAGCAGATGAGTCCATGGTGCTTTGGGATACTTTTAAATAACAACAAAACTTTCCTTCTTTCCTCTTTTTGTTCTCCTTGGTAATAAAAATAGGACATCTCACTGTGAAAGAACCCAAATTCCTTGATTTTGAAGTCAAAAGGGAGGTGCAACTCATCATTTTAGCTGAAAATAGTGGGCATCAAGCCTACAGCAAAGTGGCAGTGTTGGTACAGGATGTAAATGACAATTCGCCACACTTTGAGCAAAGTGTTTACCACACGGCAGTGTCTGAAGGCCAGCTCTACAATGCTCAGGTCATACAGGTAACAGAAACATTTGTGTGTGTGTGTGTGTGTGTGTGTGTGGTGTGTGTATCACCGTCAATCAATGTTTATTAAAACATCTAAGGCCTATGTCCAACACATAAATTAAAATTTAAATGTCTCCAGGGCATGTACACTGGTGGGTTGGATGAAATCTTAGTTTGAAGGGAATTTCTACACTTGTTTTTCTTCCTCTTTATTCATTCAAGGCTTAATTCCTGTCCACCTGCTTTCTCTTGGGACTCTGTGAGCAGTAGCAAGGACTCTTCAAGAACACAGAAAATGACTGGCTTTATAAATGCATACAATTTAGAAGGGAGGTCAGAAACAGAAGCATTAAATTAAGTGTCATATAATTAACACACAACATTAATAATTAATGTTATAGTAGGAGCATGCATTTTGCATCATGCAAGAAAAGAGGGGAAAGACATACCTCTTCTTGGAAGAAAAGTGTAGTGCTTCATAGAATAATGGTCTTTGAACTTGGTCTTAAAGGGTGAACAGACATGTAGACAGAGCAGCCATTTTCAGGACCAGCCTTGTCTCAGTGAGGAGCCCCGAGCCCTAAACGAGAGACTGTTCATGAGACAGTCTTGTTCTACCTTGAAACTCCACCCTTCCTTAACAGTTTCTCTATCTGATTCAGGGTTAGTTCCCGCCTTTCCTTCTCTTCACTACTGAGCTGAGTCTTTGCAGCCATAAAGCTGGGCGTCAGACCTATAACTCCCTGTGATGCTGCAGATGAAGTCAGCAGTGAGCCTCCTTCCTCAGAGTTAGCCTTGGAGTGGGCATTCCTTTTGCTAATAGAAAGCTGCTGCTACTATCACACTTAAGATTAGTCCAGCTTGGGCTTCCTCTCTGTGTTAGGTGGGGCTTAGATATTTCCATTACCTGCTTGTCTACTTTCTGGTGGAAAGATGCCATTTTTTACTTCCGGTCCAGTTCCTGATACGAGATCCCCTCTGTTGGTGGGGACCAGTAGAGGCTCAGCTGTCTTGCAGGTTTAGCTCTGTGCTCCTCCTCCTCCCATCCTCCAGGATACCCAGGATCCTATCGGCTACCATTGTAGAATTGTTTTGTGTTGTGGCAGCCTGGCACAGAAGTGCTAAATCTTTACCCTGATTTCAGCCAAGACTGAAATGTTTAAGAAGTTGAGGATATCCATTTTCCAGTCTTTATCATTATTGTGTAGTAATACCATTCAGTGGGGCTTACAGATGACTCCAGTGTCACTTTGTCCTCAGAGGATCCCTGCACTGGGCTCTGTGGCATTGTACTTCTGTGTCCCACATGCTAACCTGGGTGGGTCAGACTGTGCAAGGTAGAATAAGTACAAGGCTGGACACCTTTGAGCCCAGGAGTGCCAAATGGGAGAGCCTGACCCACCAGTGCTTCCAGCTGGGGCAGATTTTTAGAAGGCTGAATCAGGCACAGATACAATGAGTTTTCTTCTTCTCAGTTTTAGGTCGTCTAGTTCCCATGAAGCTAGCATGGCCAGTCTTTTTTCTGTTAAGAAAGAGCAAGGTCGAAGGCTCTGGAGTCAGAATACTTGTGGTAGCTATTTCCTGTTTTGCCACCACACTGCACACGTGCCCTCCTTTTGGTTACAACTCCGCAAACTCCCTTTAAGGATCTGTTCCTGCTCTCTGGGCTGCAGACTTAGTGGGATTGTCACAGTATAGACCTGTATCCCACCCTGCCCCAGGCAGACAGACTGTCTTTCATTGGAACTTGAGTCTTAGGTGAAAGGACATCAAGACAGAGGTAAAATAGAGCTGATTCATCTTGATGGTGACAACTCAGGTAAGCTGTGCTGTACTCCCCAGAATCACTCAGGCTCTTGTCTTCATCAGGGTGCCATTACTGTGATACACTTCTTTCCTGGTGAAGTTAGCCCTGTGTGGACATGTGTTGCCAGCCCTTTAAAGCACTAACTGATACACTGCCCTGGGAAGCTTACTTTCTGAAACACTTTAAGTATACTGCTCCTGGAGACATGATAGACTTTATTTGTCTCCCCTGGAGACTAGTTTCTCTTCCTGGTGATCTCAAAGGACACTGTGTGTTACTGCCTTTCAGATAGTTGGTTTGTGTGCCCTCTTGATGGGGTCTTGGTGTGGTCTTCAGGTGTGGAAAGCAGATTATGAAAAGCCTATGAGAACTGGACACAAGCAAGGCGAGATGCAATTAATTGCTTTTACCTGTAGACTGAGCTAGGCACAGCCACCCCCCCGCACCCCCCACCCCCGGCCTGGCCACTAAACAGGGAAAGGCACAACAGCTGAGTCTCCTAAGCTTGTGTTCAGAGAAGCAGGAATGCAGGTTTCTCCTGTTACAATGTCACGCCCCTCGCCCCTCCCTGAGAGCTGCTCCACCCTGTTTGCTGCTATTTATAAAAGTCCCACTGAAGGAGGAAGGGGGGGCTTTTGTCTTGGGTTTTTTGGGCTTTGGCTTTTGCTTTGGGAAGTGGGGCTTCTGCCTTTTGTTTTGGGCTTTTTGGTGTGGAAGCTTTTGGAAGGGAAAAGAATTACTAAGGGGAAATTGCTGAAGGGAAAAGAATGGCTAATAGGGGTTGATAGAACGTCTGCACTGAGAACTTTAACCTAGGCCTTAGAAAAACTAAGCTAAAGAAAGAACTTTAACATAGGCTTTAGAAAGCTAAGCTAAAGAAAAAATTTTATACATATGTCTTAGAAAAGCTAAGCTAAAGAAAAGCCAAAGACAACATGGGACAGGGCAAGATAGAGGGCCAAGACTTTAAGAGTTATGCATATGCAGTTTTCAGGTGTGGCTGTTACAAGTCTGAGCACCAGGCTTTAAGAAAGCTAAAGAGAGATGGGACAGTACAAGCCTGGAGGCAAAAGACTATAAGAGCGATTAAGCTAAAGATAAGCTAAGAGAAAACATGGGACAGTGCAAGACTAAGGAAAGAGGTTTTAAAGAACTGCAAGGAGTAAGGCCTTAAAGAATAAAGATAGAGAAAAGAAACAATGAGGGTTGGGCATCTCCACCCAAGCTCCCAACACACCTGACCCCACTTTCTGTCTGTCTGTCTATACTATGTCTTTTCTTAATCTCCAGTTGCCCCCAGTTAAGCCCAGTTAGGTTCAGTAATAACCAGGAGTGAGAAAGAAAGCTTGCTCTAACAAAGGAAGGAGGGAAAAAACAGTGCCTCCTTCACTCAAGGTCCCCAGAGAACTTTGGAAGCAGTGTGAAGGATGGATTGAGAGGGAAGGAATTAGAAGCAAAATCCCACTAGGACTTCAGTGTAGTAGCCCAAAGAGAAATGACACGGGATGTGTGAGCTAAAGCTGAGAGGCACAGAGGAGGTAAAAATGTGAATAAAAACAATTTGGTAAGTCTGCAACTTGTTCTTTTTTTTAGTGTATGTCATCTGTTGTTTTTTTAATTAGCATATATCAAATTATACATAGGGGTTTCACCATGATATTCCATGAATGAATGTAATGCAATTTGCATTTGTATTTTTGTCTGTTTTTGGTGATACTGGGGTTTGATCTCAGGGCCTCATGCTTGCTAGGCAGGTGCTCTTCCACTTGAGCCACTCCCTCAGCCTTGCAACTGGTTTTAAAATAAGATACTGAACCCACTGATAGAAATGGTTGAATGATTGAAATTTAACACAAATTTAACAAGATATCTTCATGGAAAATGATGTAATCTTTTGGTCAGTCCTCAATATTACTTTGTAACCTATCAGATAAATGGATCAGAATCTAAATTTATTATTTCTAAGTCTAAACTATCAGTTTTTAAAGATTCCCTTAAGTTATAACTTTAATACAATATAAAAATCCATACATGGCCTTTATAGGTGATATTTTAAGAAGAAAAAAAGGGCAAATAAAAAAGACCTATTCACTATATGAAAGTTTCCTGTAATATTTATTTCCTTTTTTGGTGTCAGCATGAATCCATATTCAGTACTGGAAATCTTAGATATTTTCCAGTCATTTTGCCTGTTGCACAAATTATAACTCAAAACCATGTGAAAGTTATTTGGAAATCCTTTGGATAAGTATGCAGAAAATTTCTTCCCCCATCACCCACTTTATTATAAAGTTAGATGTAACTTTCATTTGCAGGATGATTTTGTTTTAAAAATGCATTTGACAATCTGGGATTCTTTTTTGCCCATTTTGAAGTTTCAGTCTTTTCTAATGGAAGTGTTGGTTTTTCACAGGTTTTTGCTACTGACCTGGACAGTGGGCTGAATGGCCTGATTGAGTATTCAATTCTCTCTGGCAACCAAGAAGAAGCCTTCAGCATTGATGCAGTGAGTGGTATGATAACCACCAGCGTGGTGCTGGATTATGAGTCCACTGGCTCCTACAGGTGTGTCCAGGACCCCATCCATGTGATCAGCTGCTCTGCTTTGTCTCTCTCAACACTGCCACTTTGGGTTCAGCTTCCTGTTGTGTAAACTGAGATGTGAAATGTACTTTTCCTTTGATACAAATTACTGTCACCCTTTTTGACACGTTAAAATAGTCTTAGAAATATTTGCTTTCGCAAATTATTTGCTCTTAGAAAAAGTGATTGGAGTAGCTTTAAGATTTTATGCATTTGTGATATTGCTAAACACTCAGTGAGAGACATGACAATGTCTATGAAATGCTTACCTGAACTATAGTTGCCCTCTTCAAATGTTTATTCTCACTCTTTTCACAGTCAGTGAAGACTGAACTACATTTCTTTGTAATTTTTTTTGATGGTCCTGGAGATTGAACTCAGGACCTTGTACTTGCTAGGCAAGCACAGAACCACACCCCCAGCCCTCTATTCCTATTTTAGTTATCTTTTAGATAGAGTCTTGCTGGGGGCCAGTCTTGGACAGCTGTTGTCCTTCCTCTGCCTCCCCATCCACAGCTGGGATGACAGATGTAAAATACCATACCAAACCCTCTTTTTAATTTTTCATTCTTAGTTGTGTATGAAAGCACAACCTTTTCATTAGGGTCCTTCTTGCAGTACTGTGTTCTAAACAGAAATGAACTTATTAAAAGCACACATTCAACATTGATTTTTTTTTTTTTGGCATGGCATCTAGATGTGCTAGCCTTATGCAGAATTCTATAAGAGACAGTAATAGTGTCATAGGTCTTCTAGGTATTTTTAAAAGTCAGTCTAAACTTACATTCAGAGGATTTATGACATCCCAATTTATAAAGCAAAAAATTGTAAAAGTACATGAATGGATACTACTAAAAGAATGATGGTCCAACCCTTTCATGGAATACCATGAAACTGATTTTTAAAAAAGAAAAGGTAGGAGTCTTTTCTCCCATTTCCTGGTTAGGGGACAGGAAATATTTCTTTACCTCTTCCCCACAGCTTGTCTATACTTTGTCCTGTTATATTGAAATAAATCCTTGCTAAAACTTAAAAAAAAGGTATTACTTGTATTTGCTGATGAAGACAGAGCTCTAGAATATATGACTACATTAAGAAAGTACCAACTGCTTATACAGCATGACTGTTGAGGGAAAGCTCAACAGAAGTATTTCTGTTCTTGAAATACTTTTAGAAGAAGATGTTAACCTCATTTGTCTTTGGAGAAATAGCAAAACAGTTTGCCTTTCTTCTTTCATTGTTCTATTCTTTATATTTATGTCATATTTTTATGTTTTTCAAAGAAGCCTTGCATGAAGAGTACAGTAGTCCCCCACATCTGTGGGGTATATTCCAAGACCCCTGGTGAAGAATAGAACCTTAGTACTGAATCCTGTCTATACAATGCTTTTTCCTAAATACAGGCAGCATTACTTCACTGATTTGTCCTTCCGTGCTTTATGCCCGTGCCTCCTTTGTATCACTGATGTTGTGCCTTTGGGTCACTAGTAAGTAAAGTAAGAGTTACTTAAACACAAGCACTACTATACTGCAATAGTTAGTTGATCTGATAACTGGGATGACTACTAAGTCACTAAAGGGCTGGTGATACATACAGTGTGGATACACTGGACAAAGGGATGATTCACCTCTTGGGCAGAGTAGGGCAGTATGAGATTTCATCATGCTACTCATAATAGCACACAATTAAAACTTATGAATTGTTTATTTCTAACACTTTCCATTTAACATTTTTAGATTACCTACAGTTTGACTGACTACAGAGCTCTGGAATATATGAAAGAAATAACATGGCATCATATAGTGCTTACACAGCATTCCCCACTTACATTCCCCACTTACTGTGGGTAATTTAAACTGTGGAAAGCAAAACTATGGAGTAGGGGTACCATATTTCATTCAATCTTCACACCCCGCCCAAGGAAGTTAAGGTGAACATATTATTTATTAATAAGGCAATAGACATACAGTGGCTTGCTCTAGGTCACAATATGATTTAGGGATCAAATTTGGACCTAAAACCAGGAATTCTGATCCTGAGTCATCTGATTTCCACCATACAAGCTATGGGGCACCCCTCCTGTTTAGGGAGACAGGTACCCAAGGACTATGTCAATACTGTCCTGTGAGAAAAGTACAATATATTCTTGTGGTTAAGCAATGAGAGCTAGTTACAGTGGAACATGTTACGGTGGATTGGAGTAATTAACCTCTATAAAAAATCCTGCAAACAAAAGTTTAATTAACTGTTTTGTTTTTTTATTTGTTCAATATATTTCAAAATACTGCTTCAAAAGTATTTTTTAAAGTTTTAAGACCTTACCCTACATTACTACTAGAGATATTTAGTAATATTTTATTGTAATTAATTATTGTACTTAATTATAAATATGATTGTAAATACCTATTCCTGCTGCATTGTTCTATAGTAATTTTAAGCACGAAGTGTTTTCCCTCTCCATGGATGACAAGGGAAATCTCAGCCTAAGTGCTAGTTGAGTGATCACAGTTTCAAAGACTATTGACAGTCTGCTATGTTCCAGGAACTAAGCATTTTCTAACTATAATGACTTTCTGTTACAGTGTTCTTATTCAGCAGAGCCTAATTAACAATTATATCTAACTTTCAACTTTTTCCCATTTGCGTCATAGTTTTTATGTTCTCAACATTTAAATTGGTCCCGCTATGTAAAAATGGCTTTCTCCAATGCCCTATGAAGAATTTAACTCCAGGTTGGGAGAAGCAAAAGCTGAGACAAGTTGAATCCACCCCACCCCCAGCTATACACACACACATGCGTACACACACACACACACACACACACAGCCTCTAGCATCACCAAACAAGGGAGTATTGTAAGCTTCCTGCCTCTCCAGGCTTTCTGCACACCCACTCCCAGCCCTGCCCACCAAATGGCTTCAATTTTCTTCAGCATTTTTCTTGATAGTTAAGGCAATGAAAAATGTAGGATAACTTCTTCCATGGTCGGCTACCCCTTTAGTGCGTGCTTTGCAAATGATGTCCTTTAGCTTTCAACCTTTCTTTACTTTTGAAGTATTACTATTTTGTCTTGTGGAGGGAAATGTTCCCAATTCTATCCCTTTGTTTTAAAATGTAAAATGAGGAAATCAAATAGTGTCAGTTACAATTCCACTAACTATAAATGTACCAAATTATTTTAGTTTTCAGAAGAGGACACATTTAAGAAAACTCAGTGGAAAAATGACAAATTATAAAATAAGTATTAAGTTCTCTCTGACTGAGAAATCTAGATTTATGAAAACTATTTACTAAGCAGGAGTTTGGGGATACAAAGACAAATGATATAGTTCTTGTTCTCAGGGAACTTAATAATTGAATCCCAGTAAACCATGGCAGAGAGCATATTAATAATAACTATAATAGCCATTTCTAGGATTCTTGTTTTGCCTTTGTTTTCTAATTGAGTTCTTATGATGGAGATTATTTTCACAATGAAGAAATTAAACTCAAAGAGGTAAAGTTGTTTAGCAAATGATACAAACTACTTAATGCTAAAACATGATTTTAGCCCATGTGAGTGGCCATTATTAGTGCTTCCTAGAAAAAAGTTAAAAGTTTCAATAACATGAACAAATAAACCCCAGCTTGCAATTGTGAAATAGTATGTGGTTAAATGTGAACATACACAAGTGGAATTTGAGTCACTGTTTCCAACTACTTGGCTAATAACTGATGTGGAGACACTTATCATGGTTTAAATTGGCAATGGGAATTCACATTAGGGCCCTAATTCTTAATCTTTTGAGGGACTTTAAATAAAAATGAGCAAAAAATCCTAGGCAACTTATTATTAATATAGATGTTTAAAATTCAACTTCTCCAGCATAAATATTCAAGATGGAAGAGTAATTCTTTGCTGAAACAATACTCAAGTAATAGTAAACTCTTCACTGAATGCTTACTTTGACTGTGAGAGAAACAAAAAAAAGGCAATTATATATTTAAGGTAAGAAATGGGTTGAGATGCTAGTTATCGTTTCCAAAATACACAACCTACTTATTTTGGGTTTTGGAGTTTTCAGTCCCCCATTGGTGTCTTGTTACTTTTGGACCAGTGGAGAGGCAGGAGTGTGTGGTGGAGCAAACCATTCACCTTGTGGCTGAAATGTGAAAGAGGGGAAGGAGGAGGGCTGGCATCAGTCTCTTTCAAGGACATACCCCATGACCTAAGATCTCCCAGGAGGCCCTACTTCTTAAAGTTTCTGCCACTTCCCAGTAGCACCATGGACTGGGGACCAAGCCTTTACCATGGGGCCTTTGGAGGACATTATAGATTCAAACTATAGCAGGGACATGTTAAAAGTTGATTCAGCTATGTGTTCCATAGGAAGTTGATGACAATTTGAAATTATTCAATGGAGAAAAAGATAAAAAATGGCTCTGATATTTCTACATTGGAAAGAGAGGAATAGATGAGGATTATTATTTTTATTCTATGCAAGTTGATCCTAAAGAGACAGTGCAAGAGCAAAAGTGAAGGTTCCTCTTGGGAAAATGAATATAATGACCTGAAACTCAGAAAAGTGGTCTTTGTGAAGATTTAAAGTTGGGATTTATCCAGGGGCTTAATGTAAAAAGAAACTACCTAGGATGACCATGGGAACTGAGAATTTCAGAGTGCTAATTTATTGTCCTCTGAGGGACAGGCAGAGCAATAAGAACTACAAAACAGACTCAAGGAATATGAAAAGCCAGAAAAAGATGGTGACATGGAAGTCAAAGGTAGAGGTTGTATATGTGAAAGAACAAGGCTTCTAAATGTGTTTGGATTAGAGTTTCTAGAACTTCCTCATTTTAAAATTTGTGCAAGGAATAAGCTGGTCCCAACCTGATTTTTAATAAGATAACTTAGTCAATATTAGAGTTGTAGGTTAATTAATATGCAGCTGTTAATTTAACATTTAAGTTGATTGATTTTCATTAACAAAAATATTCAGTG